CTGTGCAGGTTACTAAGTGCACTGTCCACGTCTGAGGATATTAATGAGTTCCAAGGTACTGAGTCTAAGTCTGCATTGACCGCCTCCCACACAGCAGGTGTGACGTGTCGGAGATCGAAAGACATAGGGTTAGGCTCCTGAGCTTGAGACGTTATTTCGCGGGGAGACTGAGGCAGGGGGATGTCGAACTGGCAGTACACAATGGCATGGTCTGAGGCGCCCAGTGGGCAGTCAGTTTCGACGCAAAACGAGAGATTGGCACGGTTACTAAAAAAATTAATACCAAATCCAAGCAGGCTTGGACACCAGAGGGTGACGTGTATGTACATGTGTTGACGAGTTGGTGAAGACCAAATGGACTGAGCGTGCGATACAATTCAGCACCGGCAGTATTGGTGGAATCTGTCGAACACCATGACGTGTGCTTGCTGTTAAAATCACCTGTCAAGATAACGTGAGACGATGAAAGAGGAAGAGTAATGAGTACGTCTTCGAGAGTCTGGCAGTACCTTGCTATATCTGTTGGCTTAGCAGAAGGTGGACGATAACTGCAGCAGAGGAGGATCGGCTCAGCTGCAGCCGGATACGGCTGGAGTTGAACCCAAACGGCTTCGCACCCATCGCGAGCTAGATCGGTACGCATGGCAACAGACTTAAACTTATTCTGTCGAACAAGGATAGAGACACCACCATAACCTCTTGCACTTGTCCCGGACTTATTCTCTGCAGGGGGCCTGTCCCTCCGGAAGGTGTCATAACGCGTAATATTAAGTGCAATATTCGGGTTGAGCCAGGTTTCAGTTAGGCAGATTATGTCAGGCTGCCACTCTTCAGCAACAATAGTAAGCTCTGTACACTTATTTACTACAGAACGACAGTTTGTTGATAGGAGTGTGAGCTGGGGTGGTGTAGAATGTTGGTGAGTGGGAAGGGAGTGTCTGGTAGGAAAGAATGGGTGTGCGTGTGGGTTCAGTGAGGAAGGTAGGTGTGGGTCCAATTGCATGGTTTAGTTACTAGCAGACTGATCCAAGGTTGTGCTGTCAGATGCAAATCTCCATTCCCTGATGGAAACTTTGCTTGGCCAGAAATCTTCTTCGAGAACCTGGTCAGTATGCTCAGCCGGAACAACAAGGTGAGCATAAGCAGTACCAAAGTACTTGGACTCCGAAATTGAGCAACTGAGGACGTCAACTGCTTTCTTTTTGCACCACTCCCTGATAGAGTCAGCCTCACACCCAGGATCGACATTTCCGAGGTAGAAGCACTTCCGCTTGATCCTTTCTGCCCCCTGGAGGCTGCCTCGCTTACTGGACATCGGCTTTTTGTACTGTGATGTGATAGAACGCTGCAGTGCGGGAGCACGAGCCATGTGTCGGTGTGGAGGATACTGCCAACCATTACGGTCAGTGTCACCAGCAGTGCCAGAGCTGGTCATTCGCGTGCCATGTTTGGGTGCGGGAGGTGCGTACTGGGAACCTACTTGTACAATGGGCTCTGTAGAGGATGCGCCAGGAATGCAGTGCTGCCAAACAATTTTCGCCTAAAATCGGACACCCTTCACCGCCAAGGCTGGCCACATGGTGCGAATTTTTCTCCTCGGCAATTTTTTCACAGAGAAAAATATCGCCTAAAACACCATGAAAATTCGCTTCGTTGCCATGGTAACCCCAGAGTCGTCATGAATGAGTGTGGTCGCAGACTGACTCTATACAGACTGTCAGTGTACGTGCCATCCAGCCTGATCTAGGCATGTTACTTTGCACTTCCACAGCCAAGCGCTAGCCTTTTTAGAAGCAAATGTACAGTGATTTGTGCCTTCAGTTGCGCTGAAAAGTGAAAGTACAGGACTTCTGCATAGGAAAGTAATGATCTCCGACATTTTGGCTGCTTTTCGGACGTTTCCCTTTTCGGACCGGTTTTCGGAAGAGCCTTCAAAAATCGGACACTGTCCGAAAAATCGGACGGTTTGGCAGCACTGGGAATGGTAGAAGTGTACATATTTGGACCTACTTGTACATTGGGCTCTGTAGTAGATGCACGTGAAAGGGTGGCAGCGTACGTATTCGGTTGGTACCGAGTGGTTAGTGGCACTCCCGGGGCTCGCACTTGCTGACTTTTGAGCTCCCCCATCTCTTCCCGCAATCGTGACAGGTAGTGTTGTTACGTGGTAATGGGGTAGGTCCCCCATTATGTGTGTAGGCTACATGTGTGAATGTGATTCTTGTCACCAATGTAAACAACACCTGTTATGGTCTCGGTCTGTGCAGAGCGCGACGACATCGTGCAGACGTTAGGCCCAGACCGATCCTGCCGGCAATTCTTTCGGCAAAATATCGAAGAATTTAAAGAGCGGAAAATGCCGGTAAAATCAGAGCAAAATATCGAGATGTTGGGTGCCTGATACTTGGATTTCCTTGGTTCAGCAGGTAGTTAATTTTATTTTCATTATTTTATTGGTTTGGTGAGACTACCATGATAGGTATCCATTTACCTCTGGAGAATCCGTATAAACAAACAAACAAACAAACACTACACTGCAGCAGTCCACTTCCGCCAAGCCACCGTACGCCGGACACTCCGAGCCCTGAACCCAAGTAAAGCCACAGGGCCTGATGCAGTACCTGCTAGAGTGCTGAGAAAATGTGCCGACTCTCTGGCCCTGCCCCTATCCAAGCTGTTTACCCTGTGCTTCTGCAGTGGTCATCAACCTGCCATGTGGAAAGTTGCCAACGTCGTACCGGTACACAAGAAAGGCCCCAAGTCGAACCCCAGAAACTACCGACCGATATAACTACTGCCCATAATGTCTAAGTGTATGGAGTCCATCGTGAACCGCAGCCTGTCCAACTTCCTGAAGAAGAATGACATCCTTTCTCACAGGCAGTTTGGTTTTCGCACTGGACTGGGAACCTCTGATCTGCTGATTGCTCTTCAGCATGAGTGGAGCCTTGCAGCTGCCAGTGGAGGCCTCGTCAGGGTACTCGCAGTAGATATTGCCGGGGCCTTCGACAAGGTCTCGCACAACGGCGTCCTCCACAAGGCTGAGCGGTGCGGCATAAGTGGCCTCCTCCTTGCCTGGCTCCGGAGTTACCTGACAGACCGCCACATCCGGGTCGTCATAGGTGGCCAGTCTTCACCGACCCACCGAATCCAATCTGGCGTGCCACAGGGCAGCATCCTCGGCCCCACCCTCTTCCTTCTGTACGTCAACGACGCAGAAGACCACCTGCCTGATGGGGCGAAGCTGGCTGTATACGCCGACGACACAACTCTCTACAAGTGCATCACCACCCGACTCAGACTGCCAGAAGAGACAGCAATCCTCCAGCAGGCAGTAGACTCACTGGCAGCATGGGGAAGCAGGTGGAGGATCAAGTTCGAGCCCACAAAGTCGCAGGCATTGACCATCAGCCACCACCGCTCGCCAACCCCCCCGAACGCAATACGCTTCCAAGGAGCAGTCGTGCCAGAAGTAGAGGAGCTCAAGCTTCTTGGCGTCACCTTCGACAGGCAGCTGGCATTCCGCAGCCATATCCGACAGCTTGCAGTACGCGGAGCCCAGCGGCTCGGCTTCCTCCGTAAGGCATCGGCTGTGCTAGACCCAAAGCACCGGGCAATCGTGTACCGTGGCTTTGTCCGCCCTGTGCTAGAGTATGGCATGCTGGTGTGGATGAGCGCAGCCCCCACCACCTTGGCCCGCCTCACTGCCATCCAGCGCCGTGCCCTGCACATAATTGGAGATGGAGCATACCTCCCGAGCCTCGACATTCGCCGTACCGTACCGAGCAGGGCTCTGCTTTCTGTACAAGCTGCACTTTGTGGAGGGTCCGGAAATGGTGAAAGCCATTCTGCCACCATCAGCAGCCGCACCGCAACACCGCATGCCTACTCGAGCGACAACCAGATCTGCAACACATCATCCATCGCAACTCACCAGTATCCTTCCCCCTCAGGCACGAAACAACACGCTCCGCTCATTTCCCCACTCCCTCATCGAAACGTGGAATCAGCTCCCACCTACCCTTCTGCAGTCTCCCCCTTCTCGCAGAGGCATGCACACGTTCAAGAAAAACGTCAACGACCACTTGCGGCGCAGCAAGTGGGAGTGGGCCACAGACAGGCTATGATCTCTGCCAACACACCAGCCTAATTATACTGACCGCACTCCAGCTCCCTTCTACCCCTCTTTGATCCCCTTCGCTCAGCCTTAAAACCCGATTATCAGTTCACTCCATCTTCCTACGGTGCACTGCTTTTACTATTGTTTTGTCCTATCCCAATCTCAAATTCTCCCCATTATCGTTTGCAAAGCCAGTGCTCCCCTCTTGGATGCACATGTTTCTTTTCTCCTATGCGCACAGGAGTAACAATGATTCCGAGACCTTTGGTCGGAGGAGTTACTTTTGCCCCGCCCCCACTTCCATCCAATATGCCACCGCCCCCGCTGTGCAGCATCTGATGGTACTGTGGTATTCAGTAAAAAAAAAAAAAAAAAAAAAAAAAAAAAAAATGCCCAGGACGAGATCATGTGACCGAAATATCACTGGGATTCACTGTGGATCCACATGATTTTGGAAGAACTAAGGGACACGTGCGTGGAAATCCGTGTTGAGAAACCGACCCTGCGATTTTATGAAAAGTTGTACGGGATTGTACGGGAATTGGATAAAATACACGTTTTTCCGGAGCAAAATGGAGCAAAATACCGAGATTCTTGTTACAGGCTCGGCAAAATATCGAAGATTTCGCAGCAACTTTTTGCGGCAAAATATCGAGGCGAGCGGAGCAGAATCTGTCTGTGCAGCATATCACGTGACAAACCACGACACACGCGCACACGCAGTGCTGCGGACACGAGATGCCTGAGTTCTCGCTAAGGCACACAGCCACAAAACTAAACCAGTATGAGTAATGTATGAGTAGATAGCCATCCGTGGTCCGACGGTGAGCATCTCTTGCCATTTACCACATGCATGTAAAGCACGATTCGTTCAAACATT